GGGCATTCATGAGAACCCTCCACATTCCACGCTGGAGTTCTCTAGATGGACCATGTCTATGGTAAAAACAGACCTACTGTCACCCAAATAGCTCCAGTCTGGGCGCGCCCACGACTTCCTATGCTCTAGTCTCTTGTGTACCAACCCACAAACGTTGTGGTTCAACATTTTGACCTAATCAAAGCAAACAGTACCACAACATTTATGGGTTGGCACACAAAGGACTAGGGCATAGGAAGTCATAAACTTGGGATTACGGATAGAAACATGATAAATAAGGTGGAGGATATAGCTAGTTGACTAAAAATAGACGTGCTTCATGGATCACGTCTATGCTCAAACACGTCTGTTGTTATTGAGCTTACTTCTATTTTGAGTAAAAGTGTTGGGTGAAGAGATTCGAAGGTCGGTTCCACCAGAAGACGACGGCGGATTCCTCTTTACCAATTGTCGATTGGCTTTACTGGAAGATTCATGCTGACGCTGTTTTCGAGGTAATCTCTTTCGATTCCGGTGAAAAGGTGCTAAGCTTTCATCCGTTGTATGACGCGTATCATCAGAGCAAGGTATCATCGTCACAACAAAATTCAAGCTAACGAATCAAGAAAACTGAGTCATGTTTCTATCTGTAGTACCATGTCTATCACTTCCTATATCCTAGTCTCTTGTGTGCCAACCCACAATTGTCGTGGTTTTACTTGTTTTGATTAGGCTAACTTAAGACGTCTCATCTTGGCTTTTGATTGTTCCTTTTTCATCCCCCTGCGATCTCTTTTCCTAAAATTAAGTATCTTACCTTGATCCAGTCGTATTCTTTTTGCTGTTGCCTGGTCTTTTCCGAGTTTATTTAGGCAATATGCAAAGTTTTCGCTGATCCTGCCTTTTTCAAGTCTCCTGTTCATTTGATTTCTATCGGTCCATATATCGATGTCCTATTGGATCTTGCGTTTTCTTGTATTTTCACCACATGCAGCCAATCTTTCGGTCGATTTCCAGTTGATTTCGCGCCCCGTTCGTGCAATGTGTTCCGCTATCTCGGATCTTTCCGTATCCATGTTCCTGCAGAGTCTTTGATGCTCCTTGATTCGTAGGCCGATTTTTCTTCCTGTTTCACCAATTTACTTTTGCTCACAGTAGCCGCATTTGATGCGATAATCTCCCGAGCAATCAAGAGGCCACACCATCTTGGTCTTCATACCTTCGATTAAGGACGGAAAGTTGAGTTTTTCCAAAATAAGACGAATAAGCTTCACGATGCCAATGAATTTCACTTAGCCTTTTCTCCCAAAAGATACCTTATTCAGGGTGGAATGCAGTTTCGATCTAGCATTGAATTATCGAGTGCCGTTGCTCTGCAGCCGCTTGGCTTTAATAGGACGTTTGGTTTGGCGGAGTTAATGAGGCATCTTTTCTTCGTGTTGGGTTAAACTGATTGAGTTTTCCTCTGTCATATGATTGAATGTGAATGTACATGTATGTGCACTTTAATAAGTATAGACGCGTAAGTCTTCTTGAAATAGTGTTAACTTAAGACTTTTGCAAGAATGAACTCCAGCTCTGAGAGTGCTCTTCATGTCAATTTGGAATTGCCGAAACTAGGTTTTTTTTCGTGAACTGTGTCAACCTGGACGTCGTTTTAAAGCCAAACGGCCGCAGAACAGCGTGATTCAGACGTACTCTTCTGGTGTGAGCAGCCAACGTATCTTTTAATTATGCACTTTGATACAAAACGAAAGTCTTTACATCGATGTTATCCGAATACTTCGCATTTTTCGTTTAGCAAGTAGATTTTCGAAACTACTAGTAAAGCATATATATGAAATGTATTTACTGTATTTCCTTTAAGGTGATAAGGAGACAGATAGTTGCATTTTCCCGCAATAATATGGGTAGACTTTACTTTTTCGTTGAATTTCACACGGTCTTGTTTTTCCAAAAGGTTTTCTCTTATACACACGAGTTGACTGCAGCTTAGACTGCGCATAGGTCCTATAAGCACCCTCAGCGGGACTCGAACCGTGACAGTACAACATAACGTCATTCATGGCATTATGGAAAAAACTAACCTGTTAGTCCTCTAATCATTTTAAATGAAATAGAGTGAATACACCTCATATATATGATACTTCGCATATTCAAGCATACATAGTTCCTACTCAACTTTTATCTCCCTAATGTATTAATTTTCATTGCCTTCTTTATCTTGTTCTTGTGTCAGGCGTACCATACTCAGCAAACCGATCCGTTTGATATCATTCTTGCTATTCTATTGAGTTTCTGCCCTTGTTCGCCCGCTTCTCATTGTTGGACCCAGCCGTCTTTGCATACATTTTTGTGTTCTGCTCATCATTGGCGACAATAACGACATTTATAATCAACAAAGGGCCAACCTCAGGAGGGCTCAATATTGTAATAGTTAGATCCTGATAGCGGGTCATATTTTTTTTCAAGAAAACATTACTGAAAAGTCTTATTATTCCCCCACTTTCTCATCTGTTTACCTATTTTCTCAGAAAGAAGTAATGACAGCAAAATTAGGACATGATAAAAGTAGATACGTGAAAGCCATAGATAGCCTCAAGTTCTTCCTTACTTTCTTGCTTATCTGTATCATGCTAGCTTACTTCATTGGGTCAACCGTCCTCCTCGTCCTTTGGACAGGTTTCGTTACGGGCCCAGAAGCAACAGATAGCTCCTCCCCAGCAACCAGACCCACAGAAACAGCCGCAACAACACCAGATACCGCAGTGCGACCAACCGATTTCACAGGCTGGACGGGAACTTGTTCAGCCGGTTCAGGTGATCACGGGTGTATGCTCAGAGCTGGAGTCGACAAGAGCATGCAACCCATCTGGTCCGGCCAGACGGATTCCGTCGTCATCCGTCAACTCTGGCAGTTACGTGTTGTTCGCGGCAACTCGCGATCCGAACGAGTATGCCTCTTCCAAACCACAACATGACTGTTTTTCATCTGCCTCCTCCCTCAAGACGACCGCTATCACAGCTTCTGAAAGAAAAGTGGATACGAATCATGGTTACTCAGGGACCAGTAACGGAACGTCAGCGGAAGTATTCGATATGGGGAGAGGTCGCGGTTGTGCCTTGCGCGACAACGCTGAAGGATGCGTGTCAGGCTGGCGAAACTTCATGCCCATCCCTTCAGGAGTTGATCTGTCGGCTGGCGGTCCACGCAACAGGTTGGCTGGAAGAGGCTTCCCAAGGTACATGAACATTAATGCAGCCTATTGTGATCGGAGTCCAGATCTGCAAAGGTCTCAGGCCAGCCACCAAAAGGGTAGACAAACCGATCAGGAACAGCTCTCAAATCCTCGCTTCTGTTTTCACAATGGCTCGCATCATCACAGAGAAACCAATACCTCACATAAGCACCTCATGAGTCTGCTGAACGAGACCTGGTTCACAAACAATCAACAACACCATTATCCTCCCACGTTGTTGGCACCGGAGCGTGCCAGTAATGCGGCAATCACCAGAACTCCGATGCATCTCAATGCATTTACTGCTTTAGAGGGTGTCGGTGAAGATGCCACTTCCATCGGCTCCTTGACTCCTCCTTCAGGTGAGTATTTTGA